CATTGACATTGAATTTTCAGAGGAAATAAAATTTTAAAGCTGAGACAAGATATTAAACCGAAACTGACAGACTTTCCGAGTTCGGAACTCCGCAATTAACGCGGTGAATGAAAAGCAATACGGTGTAAATAATAAACAATACATTCTCCGATGGCGGGAATCGAGCGGAGGTTGCAAGGGGATCTTTTCCTTTCGGTATGTGTTACGTTACGTGCGTGTCCGTCCGGGCTTCCGGGGGGAGGTTTTTCTTCCCGTGGTACACACGTTGCACACTCACCGATAGAATATCCGGTCGACGTTGAAGTAAAAGTCGAGCAGCATCTCTTTACTCAAGCAGCTCCACATGACGCTGGATATTCCACGCTTGTCATCGATCATCGGTGTGTCGGCCATCGATAGGTTGACACGGTAAGTCTCCATTTCATCGCTGCGTCCGAATGTTGATTGCATGCGCGAATACCCTTGTTGCGGACCGATTGACTGCTTGAATAGAGCGACCCGCAAATCTCTGCGGCATTCGCAGTAGTGCCGAGTCCGCCGCGTCGCGCGAGGTATGCATTATGCACGTGTCAATATCGATGCACGTGACACTGACAGTACATTGGTTGTCTAGTGACTGGCCGGAGCAAAGATGCGATATTTCCTACCGGGCAGTGATGCAAACTCGAGCCGGCCAGCACCCGAGCACCGCGGTAGGGGAAGCACGCACACAAACGAGAATCGTGACGTCACACGTACGTGTGCGCTTCGTCGTTCAGTTTGTAGAAGCGAGTGGACATACGTGTTCCGTCTCCTTTTTATCAAAGCGACGTTGCGCGCTTGTTGCGTATGACAACGTGAAATGCTTTTTCGAGATTTATGTGATCTTGTAAAAAGTAAATAATATTGATATTAATAAAATATCAGAACATTAAATATTTATAAATTATTAATATGCGTTAATTGCGATAGTTAATACTTTAGAGTTTAATATTATGTTATACAGGGTGTCTCATAACTACCGCTTAATACTTTAATAGTATTTTGAAGATAA